GGACCCCTGGAGAGAAGAACCCCTTGAAAAGTTCAGAGAAAGACAAGCTTTGTCAGGAAACTTTTGAAATTGAGCTGTTTTGTTTTGTTTTGTTTTGTTTCCCTTACTGGGTGGCAGAGCTGAACTGGGATTTGGAGCAGAAGACAGGGCATCTGGGCAGGCCTTTGCCAGTCTCAAAAGACCAAGAGCCTTACTGCTCAGGACTTTGGCCCAAATAACTCTTTCTAGTGCATTTTTTCAGAGGCTTTTCAACCCAGCTAGAGGGAAGTCAGGATGGAGTCCAGCTAAGGCCCTGGGCCTCTCAGCGCCCCAGGCATGAAGGCCTTTCTCCTGGCCCAAGCTAGGGGGACCTAGGTGGCTTCGAGAGGTTTCTGGTGGGCATCCTACTTTCCCTTCCCAGTACCCTAGATTTATGGAAGATGGTTTTAGGATAGTTTGTCCCCAATGGTGAGAGAGGCAGACCCTCAGAGAAAAGACAAGTCGAAGGGCAATAGAGTGGGGGAAACATTTATTTGACTTCAAGGAAAGCTACAAACATACCAAAAGCTAATCACTGAGACAGGCTTGGCAAAACAGATTTCACAGGTAGCACAGCATCCACTCGCCCACTACAAATGGTCTTGGAAGCGAAATGGGTAAGGAAGAAAGTCATTAGCCTGACTCAGACTATCACCATATTTACAAGCTTTGGGCCTTCTAGTCAGACCCACAGGTTCACAGAGAAAATCACAAGACATTTTACATTGAGGATTATTTCTGATTCCAGACACTCCCAGATCAGGCCTTGTGGGGCCTACCAGGCAGCAGACGCTTAACTCTCACCCTTTTCCTCGCCTTTCTCAACATCCACACTTTGGTCCTTCCCTGGCCCCTTGCCACCCCAGGAACAAGCCACTGGGAGACCTGGGCCTAGGGAGTGGGAGCTGAAGAAGGATGAGGTGGGTGAAAAGAGACAATCGTAGACTCCATTTCTCAGGCCAGCTCAGCTGGGCCCAGCACTACCCAACCTCAACTGCTGCCCCTTATGGAAGTTTCCAGCTGAAACTCAAAATACAGCCACCATCCTTTTATAAATAAGTTAGAACACAGACAGAGAGGGCAAGTCACATTAAACATGCGAATTTCCTTTTCTTTTTCCTGGGGAAAGGGGTGCACCCACAGACACGAGGACATTCAGAAACACTGGCAATTGGGGGCGAGCCGAGGGAAGTGGGGAGCATGAGGGGGAAATAATAATTATTATTATTATTAACAATAATAACAAGATAACCAGTCCAGGAGAGAGGGAGCCATGGGAAGACCTAAAACCAAACGAAACATTGTAACACAAGGCTGGGGGAGACAGGCTCGTGGGAACAGGTCCCCAGCGGGCAGCGTTAGTGCAGGGAGGATTGGAAGGGTCGGGCTGGGGGTGGTGCCGGCTCTTGGGCCGCCCAGGGCTCCTCCGGATGGGCTCATGGTTGGAAGGCGCTGCCGGCTGTAGCCAGGCTCATACTTTTCAGTTTGTTGTCTTTCTTCCACTTCATGCGACGGTTCTGGAACCAGATTTTGATCTGACGCTCGGACAGGCAGAGCGCGTGAGCGATCTCGATGCGTCGCCGCCTGGTCAGGTAGCGATTGAAGTGGAATTCCTTTTCCAGCTCCAGCGTCTGGTAGCGAGTATACGCGGTCCGGGCCCTTTTTCCGTCTGGCCCAGTCATATCTAGAGCAGTTAGAGAAGAGCCCAGAGGCAACGTTATTCCGGTTAAAGGAGGGGGCACTGAGTGGGAGGGGGCGGGGAGCAGGACCCAGGCTTCCCCAGCACCCAGCTCACAGCAGCTCCAATCCTCCTCACTCCAGGTGCCCGCACTCAGCCTCTTTTTCTTCATCCCCTTCTCCAGCAGCCCCCACTTCTGGTGGTAGTGAATGCTACCGGCTTTGTCTCTTCCTCCTTCCCAGTGCCTCACCCTAGGCTGGTTCAGGCGGGCCATTAGCCCCAGAAGAGAGGAGAGCGGCTTCACTTTAGCCCTAGAAAGCTCCGTTTACAGCCCATCTCTCTTTTGCTAGCAGCAATCTCAAAATTTCGGGAATAAACAGGACCCTTCCCCACAATACCCAAATCTCATCTTTCATCCTTAAGCCGGTGACTGGCTGGGTAAATAAAACCCAAGCTGAGCGTGGCAAGAAATTGTTTTTAAAAATGCCCACCCTCAGCAAAAGACCCTGTTTGGCTCTCTCTATGGAGCTGTAGGGACCCTTTCGGACACTTCTCCCTTTTGGGGGGGTAGTGAATCTATATCTGAGGTTAAGTCAAGCTGTCCTCAACCCCCCCACCCCCAACACAGGGCAGGGATGCGGCGAGGACAAAAAAAAGAGATGGAGAATTACCGTGGCTGATGTGAAGCTTCCTCATCCAGGGAAATATCTGTGGAGTCTGCCCCTCGGGCGCGGCCGTAGAGGTGGCCATGGGCTCTGGCTGTGCCCGAGCCAGGCTCGGGCTGCTTAGCTGGCTTGCCGCTTCCTCAGGCTCGGAGGACGCGCTGGCCTCGTCTATTTCGGTGAAATTGGCGCTGGAGCTGGCTGGGGTCGTCTGGTCGGAAGGGGACGAAGCTGCGGGCTTGGCGCCGTGGCTGTCGCCGTTGGTGCAGGGCAGGGACTCGGGCGAGGACAGGGAGCAGCTGGACGTCGCCTGCCTGAAGCGGGGCTCCTGGGCTGACGCGGGGAAGGCGCGCGAGCTCTCGCCCACCGCCCCAAAGTGGCTGGAGGAGGCCGAGGAGCGGTTGACGCTGAGATCCATCCCATTGTAATTGTAGCCGTAAGAGCCGGTGTGCATGGCAGCGGGATCCCTGTAAGAGCCGCTCAGAGAGCTGCCACTGCCATAATTTAGCAACTGATAGTCCGGGCCATTTGGATAACGCCCCGAGAAGGAGTTTACAAAGTACGAGCTCATTTGGGTGATTTTGGAGGGCTTGATTTGTGGATCGTGGTCGTTATAACCCTGTGCTTCACGATTTATGATGTATTAATGAATTATAGCGATGCACTGTACTTCGTTTTGCTATGTATGCGGCCAAATATGGGGGGGGGTTGGAAGGGGGATGGGGGGGCGTTAGGGAATCACGTGCTTTTGTTGACCAGTCGTAAATTCTCGCTGATGACCTCAAGAGGTAATTCATGCTCTATGGTTACAAATAATGACGATCCGAGAATCGTTAGGGCCGATTCAATGCGAGCCTCCGAGAGGGGGGAAGAAAGAGAGAAGGGGGAGAAACAGGGAGAAGGTTGGCGTTGGCCTCTGAGCAGAGCGCGCCACCTCCCGGCGATTGATGGGAGCGCGGGCCGCAGGCCGCCATGGCGGCGTCCGCAGCCTCCCAGCTGGCTCTGTGCAACCGTCAAGCAAGAAAGAAACCCGCCCCGCGGCTCACCCGCAGGGTTGAACCTTTAGGAAGATAGGTTTGAGTCTTTTGCCCACTTTGTTAGAGTGCGGTTATTTCCTCTATTTATGTCCTTCTCTCTGACATTATTATCATCACCATTTATTATTATTGTTATTATTATTATTATTATTTTAACTCTGGATAGTATAATCAAGAATTTAATTGCCTGACCGTCCCTCCTTAAGCTTTGCCAGTCCCCAAGTTGGTGAGGAATTGGGGTGAGGGGGTGAAGGATTAGAAGTTATATGTGAAAAACAATTATTGCGAGTTATCTCCGTTAGCTCAGCCAGGCCTCCTTCCTGGTGAAGCTTCGGTGGCAGGTCCACAGCACCAGAGAATCGCAGGGCTGGAAGAGGCAGGGAAGCTCTTCGTTGTCCTGGGCCCCTGGGAAGTTTGAAATTCTCCTTTTGACCTCTCATCCTTAGCCTAGGCCAAGGAACCAAGCTGGACAGGGATCCTAGAAGAGGAACACAGCCGGCGAAAGGCAGCCTTAAGCGGCAAAGACTAGAGTGGCCACCGCCCAGGCGGTTTAGATTTGGGTGACAACTCGCATGAGAGTTTGGGGTTAAAACAGAATCCCTTAACAATCTCGCCAGAGGCCGGCTATCGCATTCGGAGGGCAGATCCGAAGCCTTGTGTTGCTGGTGGCTAACAGTTGGAGAATTTACACATCCGCTTTACTGCCTTCCCGGGAAGATGTCCGGGAGACCGGCGGCCCCTTGCTGAGCCCTCTGGGCGGCCAGAGATCTCCGCAGCTGGGCCCCTTCTGCCATTCGGCTATTTTCTTTAAAAATAATTTTTTTTAAAAAGGGGGGAGAAAGGGGGATGAAGAAAAGAAAACGGTGCCTGCAGCTTGTGGCTTGGGTGAGGTTGAGAGTAGAGAGAGGATAAGCCATTTTGGTTAGAGAAGATGAGACCAAATGCCCCATCGCTTGGCCCCCTGCCCTCTGGTCTCCGAAGAACCAGACAGAGTCGGGCCCTTGCGGTCTCCTTTCCCGGGTTCTCATTCTCTTCCTTGCCACCGAGCTCCTACTTAATATGGGAAGGGCACCCTGGAGCCTGTAGGCGAACTGTGGAGAGATGCCCAGTGGCCTCATTTTTCAGTCTCTGGAGCAATAAGCCAGGGGAGCCGAGGGCCAAGGCCGGCAGAGACAGCCATGTGGGCGGGCCAAAGGCCAGGGGCCTTGGCTAGCAGAGGACAGAAAAACGCTGCAAAGGCGCCCAGACCCGCCCAGCTCCGTGTCTCTAGGGTTCTGGACTAGGAGGCCTCAAGTGGCATATCTCACAACCGAGGGCAAGCTTAGAGAACAAGAGGGAAAGGGCTTTTCTCCCTTCCTCAAGTCTGACTGGGAGAGGCAATTGTGAATTTAGCACGAGGGAGGCACAGCCAACGCTGGGGCCTGGAAAGACAGAGCCTCTGCTTTTGACTCCTGCTTTTATCTCAACTGTAACTCCGAATTGAGTCTGGCGGCTGGAAAGGCCCTGAGGCGGGCGGGCCATGGTTCTTGCCTTTGCTGTTCAGGCTCAGGGGTGACAAGGTGGCTGGGGCTATGGAGGAAAAAAAAATGGCAGGGAAGGATTGGATGTGATTGAGCTGCGAGTTTTCACATCTTTATTATTATTATTATCATCATCATAATCATTATTAATAATATTAATATTATTACCGAAGTATTTCACGTCCATAGCTAAGACAAGACTACAAACACAACACATAGAAAATTAATAAAATAGAACTTTGTTTTCTTCTGAGGCTCCTCTTCTTACTTCTAGGTAGTATGTGCTCCTTCCAGTGGCTTTGGGGAGGGGGTAGGAGAGACAAGTCTGGGGTAAGGGAGTCTTTCAAGTCCCTGCTGAGGGACAGCGAATCTACCATTGAACCGTGCACGGGGGACATGGACGAAATGAGACTCGACAAGGACAAGAGCATTCTGCTCTGCTTCCAGGAGACATCAAGTGAGTCCGATTCTCAGTTCTCACCAGGGAGCCTGATCAGGCCAAGGTGGGTTCTTCGGGGAGGGAGGAGGCGCTGGGGTGCTGGGTAGGCAGCCTTCAAGCGCCCAGGAAGAGCTCTGCGGGCGGGGACGTCCCAGAGAGCGCTGGGCCCCGCCCGTCTTGCGCTGGAGATCAAGTCCCCAGACTCCCCAGACCGCAGAGCCTTCTGGGGCTTTCGGGTGCCCTCGGTTCCCCCACAGGCCTCTCCCTTCGTGTCCCCCCTCCCTTTGCAGCACCTTCACTCGGCTGGTTTTTCTTCCTCCTCCTCCGCACTGAGCTGAGACGCACTGAGCAGCTTGCTCTCCTTTTTCCACTTCATGCGCCGGTTCTGAAACCAGATCTTGATCTGCCGCTCGGTCAGGCACAGGGCGTGCGCGATCTCGATGCGCCGCCGCCGGGTCAGGTAGCGATTGTAGTGAAACTCCTTCTCCAGTTCCAGGGTCTGGTAGCGAGTGTATGTCTGGCGGCCTCGCCTACCGCTGGGCCCAAAAGAGGAACCTGTTACGCAGAGAGGAGAAACTGAGGCCTGGGGGCACCACACCAAGCCCACAGGCCCCTCCCCCACTCAGCCCTCAAACGTAATGCTAGCTGGTCCTCCTTTCCTTCTCCCATTCCCTGGTCCCCCTTTCCTACTCCTCCAGCGCCCCCTCCAGATTCCCTCCTGGTCTCCTAGGCCTCTGCTTTCTTTCTGTCTAGACTTTTGGTGGGGGAGGGGAGGGTCAGTTGGATTCCCACCTGAGCTTAGGGGGAGGGGCTGGCCAGGTGTGTCTCCTACTAGCTGCATCTTTCCTTTCCTTTCGTTTCTTTTCTATCCATCCAGCTCTCCCTACCCTACTCGATGATAGATTCTGGCCTTTAATCCATAATGACGTGGATCGATCCATAGTCCGCATTAACAGCTCCTCACTTTCGTGTAGGGCTAATGGACATCAATTGGGACTTGAAGCCGACAAATAATCCAACCTGAGACCCAGGCGCCGGTTTGTCCCTCTCACTCCCTCCGCCTGTCCCCTCTTATTCCTCCAACCCCAGACTGCCACCCCTTTCCAGTGTTTGACCGCTCCCTAGTCGTGCCCCCGACAACCTCCAGCCCCAGAGAAATACAGTCCAAGACCCAGTAAACTTGCCCTTGCCGGCGTCACCCCCACCCCCACCCCATGACGCACTCTTGTTTTTAATGAAGTGGTCTTTGGGTGGGGGGACCCGGGCAGATCCAGATAGGAGAGGGGGAGGACACAGAGGAAAGCAAAACCAGAGACTGAGTCCCCTGTCCTCTTCCTGACCACCAATCCTAGCTCTGGCCTAACTCTCTCGGCGAGCCCACTTACTCCCCCTGCCTTACTGTGCAGCTGGGACTTTGCAAACTTTGCAACTTCTGCGGGCAAGAAAACCGATCTGAAGGCAGGGACCCAATCTTGCCCCATCTCCTGAGATGCCCACCTAGTTCCCAGTGGGAGAATGGGGTGGGGTGGGGGTGAGGGACACTAGTTCTGCCTTCTTGCAAGGGAGCCCCCCCCCGCGAGGGACAGCGGGAAGTCTCACTCACTGTTGCACGAATTCATGCGTTGCATCCACGGGTAGACCGGCGTGGAGCACTTTTGCTCCTCGGTTTCTCCGAACACGCTCTTGTCCTGTGCGCAGTCGGACTTCCGTGGCTCGGGATGGAACGCGGGAGGCTCGTCGGCGCCGGAGAGGGCACAGGCCGCGTCCTTCTCCCGGTAGAAGGCAGGCGCTGGCCCGTAGTCGCAGGGCGCCGCCCGGCCATAGCCGCCGCCGGCTGGTGGGTAATAGGAGGACGCCGCAAAGCCCTTGTCCTGGCCCGGTCCCGGCCCGTACGGCGCGGGGTAGTGCCGCAGCGGGTCTGCATAGCCCGACGAGTAGAGCGGCAGCTGGCCCAGGAAGGACTCCTGCCCGCTGGCCAGAGTGACGGGGAAGGTGGAGTTCACGAAATAGGAACTCATCGGGAGGGGAGGCGCGCGCGGCCGCTGCTGCTCCACCGGGTTTATGATTTGTTGTGTTTTATAGTCCGAGCGCAGCGCCTATTAGTAGTATAGCCGAGATTGGGTTTTAGCTGAGGGGGGATGGCGAGGTGCCAGTGAGGGCCAGAAGGAAATACAACCATCTGATCCAACACTGACCAATGGCAGAGGCAGGAATTGTCAAATAGCACCCAGGAGGAGCGCAGCCTGCACGAGGGACCCGCGCACAAACCTATCAACCTTTCTCCCCCCCCTCTCTCTCTCTCTCTCTCTCTCTCTCTCTCTCTCTCTCTCTCTCTCTCTCTCTCTCTCTGCTCCACCTACGTAGGATCTGCGAAACAGGCGTCTGTGCTTTTGAGGGAGGAGGAAACATTTGGATGGAGATCACCCCATTCCCCAGTGATGAAATAAATACACCCCTCCCCCTACCCCACGCAGGAATAGGGAAAAGTTAATTGTGTTTTCAGAAAAGTTAACCCCTGCATTGCATGGGCCCGTTCCCTTAAGGGAGGGCTGGGTAAATGCCCACGAATCTCGTTGAGAGAAAATGAAGGGGCAAGATCTGTTTCTAGGGGTTTTGTACTGGTAAAGGGGAAACGGAGTTGTCCGCTAATTTCCTTCATTTTAGAAACAGGGAAAGAAGAAACATCCTCCTTCACAGGTTTGGAAAATCGTTTGTCCTCTTTATCAGGTCTGTCTTTCCCCTTTTCAAGCTTAGGTTAATCACATCCCTGCCTCTACACAACAACCAAGGTTAGAGGGGGCAAGCCAGATCCCTTTGCCTAGAGGACCCAGAAGAAAGAAACGCCAGGGGTATGTGAGCCCAAGCTTCTCTCTCTGGCTGCTCCACTAGGCTAGTAGCTTCTGGCAAGCCGGTCCTTAAGCCCAAGACAGCTCAGCTCAGCCTGATTGCAGTCTTGACTGGGAATGGGGCCCGGAGAAAGAAACTAACAATCCCTAAATTTGGTGATGTAGCGTGAAGGGGTAAGATAGAACCCCGGCCTATGCGACTTTGTCTGCATCTCTATTCTGCCTACAACTCTCACTCTGTCTCCACTCAATTCATACTCTCCTCTCACTCCAAAATGATGTAAGAATAACCCCTGGCTACAGATCTTTAGAATAAAGATGTCCCAGTAAATCTAGATACAGAGACGAAATTGTCCTCTTAGAAATATGAGCAGTCAAGGCACACATGCCTTTAACCCCACCACTTGGGAGGCAGAGAGAGGAGGATTTCCGAGTTCGAGGCCAGCCTAGTCTACAAATTGAGTTCCAGGGCAGCCAGGGTTACTCAGAGAAACCTTATTTTGGAAAAAAAATAAAAATAAAAAGTGATTCTTCAGATCTTCATATTGCAGATGAGAGCCCATTGAAAAGAACTTTCTTTTCTTTCCTGTTCGCTCTATAAATTGTCAATTCCTTTTGAAACCCCATCCCTAAGACTTGGTTTAGATTTAGTTTTGTAAGGAAGGAAGGCTGCTAGGTCCTCCTGGGGACTCAGTAACCATCTTAACCATCTTTCAATCCTTGACTGGCATACCTGCTCTAGCTCCCTGGATTCCCACAAGCCTCCTGTCTGTCTGTCAGCCACTCTCCAGTCCCCCTCTCATGCCTCGTGTTTGTATCACCTGCTTTGCTGCTGTGAGAACTTGGAAGTAGAAGACTACACCTAAGCTCTCTTGCTCTCTTCCTTTCTCCAGCTGGTGGATGCACTGTGTTTCTGACATTCTAATATGCACACACAGGCCAGACAGTTAAGAATAACAACCTCCCATCCAACCCGAATGTAGGGAGGACTGAGTGGGTAAAAGATGCTGTTAGAGTCAGGCCAGGCTGAACCACCTCTGCCTTGTTCTTTGGGCTCCTTTTTGTGGCCCATCCCTGCCTATTGATAACAGGATAGGGCTGAGGATGGATGGTCAAGAATGAGGATTTATTTGGCTGCAAAGTGGCCTCTGGAGCTCTTTGAACTCAAAGCAACTGCTAGGCTGTCCCTTTGTGCCACAAAGACCATCCCTGGATGTCTGTCTCTCTTAGCCTTAATCCATGGGGGGAGGTAAAGAATCTCAGACCTACTAATGATGAAGAAAGCTGAAATGTACCAATATAGAAATGGCTGGGTCCATAATGAGAGAGGAGTAGGAGCTGTTTCAGCAAGGGATTAGGATGCCAAAGAATATTTACATCCCCCACCCCCATGCCACAGAGGCTGGGCCTTGGGCCTTAGCCCTTCTCCCTAGTCACAATGTCCTCATCACAGGAAAGATGGTATAATTGCCCATGTTTAAAAATTTTAAAAAGGTAAGAGAAGGTGAGAGAGGAGGCCTTCTCCTGTGATAGAAGCAGGAAAATAATTGCTTTATCCTTTAGAGTAGCAGCCCCAAATTAACCTCACCTCTGCAGGTTGCCTGTCTGGAGATGGAGCCACTATGGGCAGGGCCAGGGCGCCTGGAGTCGGGCATGAAAGGAAATAGCGCCTCATCGCTCTTATCTAAGCCCAGAGGTATTTATGAGCGTTTATTCATCTGATCCGTTTGTTTGGGAAAAAGAGCAGACAGGCAGAGCTGGGCCAGAGACCGCCTGGTTTCTGGAGCCAGATCTCTACTGATTTGTCTGTGGTTCCATCCACCTCAGTTTGTCTGCCTCCAACGGGAAATATGTAAATACACAGCAGGCATCAGCCAGTTCTCCATCAGGGTTGTTGCCCCCTTAACGCACTAAGGGAGGGATGTAAATATATACCAAGTCTCAGGGACACAGCACAGGGATTGCCCTGATACCCCACAGGCAGGATTTATAATTGTGCTTTTCTCTGCTTTGAGTTTGCAGTCCCGTGGGTAAGCACGCACATTCCAGCTCCCAGAGAAATGTTGCCTAAGTCATGTTCAGCTCAGGAGTGAAAATCTCCAGAAGGTGAGCTTAGGAATGGCTTTTGCCTGTATGAGGAGGAGGTGAGACAATAGCCAGGCTTCTTATTTCCTATAAGATACAAAGCCCTCTCCACCCCCACCCCCACTCCCACCCAGCTCCTTGGATAATAGGTACCTCCTAACCCACCCCCAACTTTACCTGGGGTGGGGAGGATGAAAATCTCTCAAACCCAATTCTCCCCCTGGATTCTGGTTGTCTGAAATGTTCCCCAGTGGTATAGTGTGGTGGCTCCCACAGACTGGAAAGAGGCTCTTTACGTGGACACTCTGCCCTAAAATCGACTGGTCCAAATCGAGGTACAAAGACCTCATTTCCATTATGCAAATGAGCGGCATCCTCTCTGATCTTCTAGGAGGAGTGGGCGAGGCTTCTCGCCACTTCTCGATTCACCCTTACCCTAAGAGCCCCGAAGTGTTTCAAGCCTCTGTGGTAGCTTGACTTCCCCTCCCTATGTTTCCTTCTGATTGCTCCAAAAGAAAAAAATTCAGGAGGGCCCCAGACCTTCCTGCCAGATCCCTCGGGGCCTCCCGCAGAGAGACTCACTAAGCCGGCCTTCCAGCCGGCCAGAAAGTCACTCTCTCGAAGCGGAAGAAAAAAGCTTAAAGATCTGCTCCAGAGAGAGGCTCAGACTCTAGAGTCTATGGCGCCGGGCCTCGGAGGGAAGGGGTGTGTGTGTGCCCCCAACGCTACACAGCCCCAGTTCCCAGCCAGACCTTAGTAACACCTAGGCCAGCCTGACACCGCAGGCAATTTCCTGGAGTCCCCTCCCAGGAACCAGAGCCACCGCACCTTGAAAGGGATAGCCAGAGCTTCCTCTTGAAGCTTGAAAGCCCGAGCTAATCAGTAACCGGTGAGACAGGGGCCAAGACTCCAACGCCGAGGTGAAGGCGCGCACCCAGCCCTAGCCACCCCCTTCTGGGAAAGCGGTTCCGTTAACCGGGTGTGAGGGGTCCCACGGGAACGGAAATTACAAAGGTTTTGGTTTTTTAATGGTTTCTCCTCACTCCCGATTTTCCACCAAAGCAATTTTTTTTTTTTGGCGTCGATTTCGCTTGAAAGGATAGAGACTGGGGGGGGGGGAACCAACACTCACCAACAGTTTCCAGAAAACTCATTCCAACTCCTTCAGCACAGACTCACCAGCTTAGGAATTGGCAAGACCCACAAACCAAATGGAAGAATACAGACTGGGTTTGTGTTTTAACAACCGAGTGGAACTGCCTGGACGGCACCTCCCTTGGCCGGCCCCCCTCCTTTGGCTGAGAAGAAAACTAAATAAACCTTGAACAGATTTGGCCTCACATCTCTTCAGAGGCCCAATCGTGTCTTGTGTCTTAGGTAGTGATGGGGGTCGTGGGTCCGAACCCTCAGCCCTTTGGTTCAGTACCCCCTGTCCGTGGGTTACAGTATTACTACTCCTCTTCCTCTGCCAGCCTCCAGGTTTGTGGCTGGGATGAGTGGAGGTCTGCAGGACTAGAGAAGGTTGAGGATAATGCGACAAGAGACTCATTCCGTTTTCGAATCTACACCCGGAGATTAAGACGCAGTAGAGAGCTTCAGCATGGGCCAGAATCCCACCGAACCGAACCGCGCCAGGCCTCCAAGCAAACCCACAGGGCTCGGGGAGCATCAAGAGGCTGGCTGTGCCGAAGCCGCCTGTCCCCGAACGGACGGTAGATGGCAGCAAACTGCATAATTTGGGTCAGAGGAAATTGTCTAAGGGACGATCTATAATCCACTAAGATTAAGGGGGTGGGGGGAGAGACCTTTACTTTGAGTGGGTTTGGGAGGATTTTCCTGTCGCGAATACGGTCCGAGCGTCCTAGATGCTAGCAATTTAATTCCTCTTGCTAAGAAGCCAATGTATTTCAGCGAGCCCAGTCCAGGCCCGTGTCTAGAGATGTTTAGCTGGCCCCCCAGGGAGCCCCAGTTCTGTGCCACAAGTGGCTGAGTTTCCTCTTCCTAATAGATCAGGAAGCCAATGTAGCCACACACTTGCCCCGATCCTAAAATCCTAGACAACCAGGAGCCCGAGGCTGAACGACCCGCACAGGCTTTTAAAAAAACAGAAAGGCAGTCAATCTCTGTTCATGCAAACCAAACTAAATCAAAATGCCTCCTGTCCGTGCCCAGACAGAGTGACTTATCTCTCAGCATATAGCTTCCCTAGAGACCCTTCACCCCATTTCTTAGCCCTCACCATCGGGCCTGAACCCTGAGAGCTACTTTAAGAATCTGTCTCATATTCAGCAGTTCTCCCCCTCCCCCACCCTCAGGAAGCTGGGAACCAAAATTGGGCGTGAGAGACAGGATTCAACACTGAACTCAGGCTTTTTCACCACACACCATAGGATTCTCTAGTTAGGTTTTGTATTCCTCGCCGCCACCACCACCACCCCCAAAACACATGCCGAATTTATTTTTGTGTATAAGCCTGAAACAGCATACTAAAACCACTTCACAACCACCACATTTGAATCCAGGAAAGTTTGAAATGCTTCCATATCAGATACACAATTTTCTCCACCAAAATCCACACATCCTTTATATCAATAAAACACAAGCAACAGAATCTATCACACACAGACCAACAGACTTTAACCTACCGCATTAAAACCACAAAACTCTCTCCCTGCAGATGAGGCTCCCTTGGGCGGCGCGGGTGGCAAGAGACCTGGGCGGTCTTCGGCTAGCTTCCTGGGGAATCTGCCTCGCTTTGGATTCCTTCACCCACACCCCTTTAATTTCAGAAATGTCTCCGAAGGAAGATAGCGAACATTTCTCTGTGAATTGTTCTTTTTATGCCACTCTAGCCGCCTCCTTGCCCTCGGCTGGCTTCTGCGGAGATTCCAGGCCCTACTGAGACCAAGACGTCCCTCAGCGCCACCGCCCCTCGTGCCAATGCAGCCAGGAATCGCCTTTACCCACACTGGGCAAGAGAACCGCATGGGGGCAACCGGGGGAGGCCAGGAGCAGGGAGAGATGGAGGGAGGTGAGCACAAACCCACCAGGGCCAGAGCGACTGGCCAGCTCGGTTGCAGCTCAGACACCCCACCCTCTCTTTCGCAGCCCCCTCGCTGGAGATATCTCCCAGCTAAAAAGGCAACATCAAACTGGCCTCCGAGGCCCCTTTCCGTTCCTCCTCCCCCCATCTTCCCTGCAGCGGCTCCCCCTCCAGGAAGCAGCTACCCCTCTCTTTACCACAAAATTTCCTGGGAAGCTTCACCCAGCAGCGCCCAGAGGTGGGGTTCAACCCGGTCTTGGGATGGGGGGAGGGGGGAGAAAAACCTAAGCCCCACCCCCTGCAAAAAACGATGCAAAAGAATAAGAATTGTAGAATCTCCCTTACCTTTGCAGAACTTGGGTTATTTTTTTTCTTTCTCCGGATTCAAATGGGTGGGGAGGGAGGGAAAAGGGAGCGTTCGGTTTCTTCTTCAGCTTCCAGATAATATTGTCCCAACCTGAGAGCCGTCGTTTCCCCCTCTCAGACTTGAGAGAGAGGTTGTTTCGCTTTTCTGACATTTGCATAGAAAATGGAGTAAGTTCTGGCTTTGAAAAATTGTATCAGGCTTCAGTCCTGGGCAGATTGTCCATTGACCCTTCATGATGACTAAAAATCCCAGACCAGCGAGCAAATTAACTTAGGAATCAAAATTATTTTTGGTTCTCTCTTTTGTGTAATTCCCACCCCTCCTTTCCTCTCTCACTCACTCTTCTCTCCCCCCTCTCTCTTCCTCTCTCTCTCTCTTTTGCTCTATCGAACTGATATTGAGGTATAAAAATATCAAGAGGCTGGAGCCCTGAAGGACGGCAGTGCTCCGACCTAGGTGTGGTGTCCAAAAGAATGCTGCATTATAACCACCAGGGAAATGATAAAAAGTTCATGTTCACGATCGCCCGGCCACATGACCGGCGCCGGCCAATCGCTGGATCCAACCACTCATAAACTTCTATCACAAAGTTGTAAATTTTCATAAAACAACAAGGAATTTATTGCATTTCTTCATGGCTGCTCCACCAGCAACCCTTTTCTCAGTCGCCATCTTCTTTTCTTCCCCTTCTCTTTTTAGGGAAACCCCAATCTGAGACGGGGTGAGATTTGGGGTGCAAGAATTCAGGGTGGAGAAGCCATCGAGGTCCAGCTAGAACCGGGGTTTTCTCTGGAACCTCCACTTTTTCCTCAAGAGCTCTGCCTGTCTTTTATAGTAAAAATCCCCCCCCCAATCTTTCACATGGGGCTGTCCTGAGGCAATAGGAAGGTGAGGCAAGAGCACCAGCGGGTGTTGGATGCCGCTATCTGCATCGTGGCAAAAAGAAAGCTCCTATACCCCCTCTCCTGCTCTGAACGCCCGCCCCCATTCCTAACCTTCGAGACTGTGGGATTCCCCCACCTGTGAGGCTTGCAGCATTGCAGGTGTGTGGGGGGCGGGGAGGCAGCCCTCAGGGTCTAGTTTTTGCCTCTGGAGAGAAGGTGTCCTGGATGGGGGCCAAACCCGATTAGTCTAACAAGCAGATTCTCCACCTCAGCACCCCAGAAACTGGGGGAGGAAGAAGAAAGATCGCGGCCTCTCCCGCCTAAACGCCTACTCTTCACTAGCAGAAACCCCTGCTCTCTCCAGGGGTTGCTGCGGTGGTACTGGGGAAGCCGCAGGTTTTTACGGCCTTTTCTTACAAATTGAAGCAGCAGGTTTTTAGGGCCTTTTCTTACAAATTCAAATTAAGCATACCTTTCCGGAAACCAACCACCTTTCTCAAACCCTTTCGGTTTAAGATGGCGCCCTTTGAACAATCGAGGGTTTCAAACGAATAAATATTAAAACTCAGCACCGCAGGTCTAGGTGTAAAGACACTATCGTTTAGGGTTTTGTCCAGCAATCAAGGGTTTACAAAATTTAATAATAACTCACTCTGCTTTTCCAGTTTCCAAAAACAAAAACAAGAAAAAAACAAAAACAAAACCCCTACATTTTAGGTTGGACTTCTGGTGACTTAATGTAGAAAACGAAATAACCACCTTTTTAAATTTTATTTTTTTCTTCTCCCTCCCCTCCCCTGTGTATGCCCCTCAGAAGGTTCCAGGTTGGCGGCACTCAAGAGCAGGCTGAACATCACAGAGGAAGCCCTGGCGGTCGGCGTCGCCGCCAAGCTTGCTGCGGCCACCTCGGCCACCCCAGCCCGGTAAACTCGCTCGGTTCTCGCTCACGGGACTGTTTTTTTTTTTTTTTTTGTATAGTTTTAAAGTTTCATATGGATAGCCCTTGTCAATCACAAATGAAATAGATTTTGATACATAAACTAAAAATAAATTGAAATAAATTTTTAAAAACACACTGACCGAAAATGTTTGCCTACTGAGCAGAAAGCTGTAAGCACCCTGGCAAGGAGGTTGCACTGGGTGGGCCAAGAGACCTCTACTCGATGTCCTGGCCTCTGCCCAAACCGCTCCAGAGATGGGATGGATAGGGGTGTTCACCCTTCGCTTTTCTTCCATATGTCTTTTTCAAGGCCTACCATTTTGGATTTCATCACAATATTTGTGGCTGGACACCAGGCTCAGATTTCATAGTCTGATTTAAAGGCCTGGATAAGAAAAAGCGTGAAACTGGAAGCTTTTAAATGGGGGGGGGTGTTTTCCATTTTGGGAGTGAGTAGCTGAGCATATGGTCTCAAGGATGGATTTCCTGGGGGGCAAATGTGAGTCTCTGTTTAGAATCCAATGTGCTAATGTACGTTGGTGTGCATCGATGTGTCTGTGAGTGGCTGTGAATGCATGTTTACTTGTGAGTGTGTGTTAATGTGAACGCATGTGTTCTGGGCATGGAGCCGGGATGGTGTGGAAGCCTGTATGTCTATTTGTGAATATATGGATGTCTGTGTTTATTTGTGACTGTAATAGTGCATACATTTGTGTACTGTCAGCTTGTAAATATGGAAATCGTGTGCTTTGGTGGAAGTATAAAGAGAGAGAGAGGTTGGGGTTCATTAGTTGGCAGTATCTATAGCAGGGGGGGCATCTGGGAAATAAAAGCAAAGGCCAGTAGAGGGGCTCCGAGACACCCACCCACTACCAACCCTTACCCCTCCCAGCCACGGGGAGACAGAAAGTACAGAGTCTGTAGATTTTTAATCCTGTTTTATTCTCCATACTTCAGATATACAGAAAGAGGCTCAAGGGAACGGGTAGGAGCCAGGATCAGCAGCCAAGTGCACCAGATGCAGGGACTAGAGGTCCTCGAGGCTCCCTAAGGTCTTTTTAGTGCTGCTACTGGGAAGCATGGGGTAGGCAAGGAACCACAGTCCACAAAGACAGTGCCATAGAGGGTGTACAAAACAGCAAGATTTTACAGAGACCTTACTAGCAACATAGAAAAGGGGAGGCACATTCCAGAAAGCCATGAAGCAGGCCGATAATGTCCTTCCCATACTGTACAAAAACAGACAACACACTTCCCCATAGGTAGTATTTCTTTTACAGTGTTGAGAAGCCCAAATTTCATCCATCTCCTTATTTTTTTTTTAACTGCTTCATTTAAACAGTTTTCCCCCTTATTTGAGATTCATGCTTCAGTTCTCAGAATTGGGTTCTTCTTCTATTCTCTCTCCTTTTTCTGTCCCTCACTCTTCTTCCTCCTCCTCTGCTTCAGCCTTGTCCTGGCCAGTGACACCCTGGCCAGATGTTTTGTTCTCCTTTTTCCACTTCATGCGCCGGTTCTGAAACCAGATCTTGATCTGTCTTTCGGTGAGGCAGAGCGCGTGCGCGATCTCTATGCGCCGCCGCCGAGTCAGGTAGCGGTTGTAGTGAAACTCCTTCTCCAGCTCCAGTGTCTGGTAGCGCGTGTAGGTCTGGCGGCCCCGCTTTCGGTCAGTCCCTACTCGCAGTATTTAGGAGAGAGAGAAATAGAAAAAAAAAATCAGTGTGTGAAAAACATCAAGAAAATTCCCACCTCCTACCTAGTTGGTTTGAAGTCTGAGGGCAGAAAAAGACTATATTGCTGGAACCAAATTAACATTTTTCATAGCCTATTCTACACTTCATGGTACCCCCTCTCTCTGCCATCTGCAGAAAAATTTCCAAGCTTCTCAGGGCAAGCATTGTTTTCTTTCTTTTCGTGTGTGTGTGTGTGTGTGTGTGTGTGTGTGTGTGTGTGTCCACAAGAGTTGTTTTGCTTTTCAAGGGGGGGGGTCTTGCTAATGTAGCCTCTGGGTTGTTTCAATCTTGTAGCAATCCTTCTAATTGAAGGATTAATTCTAATTCTAATTCAGCCTTCCAAGTGCCAAGTGTTGGGCTTACAGGTCAGCCCCCTCATACCAGATAGTCCTATCATCCATGAAGGGTGGTTTTCTCAGCCTGGAGCTTCTGAAAGCCAGGTAGATAGCAACTGCTGGCTCCTGAAGGTTCTGTTCCTAAGGGGCTAGCATAGAATGGGGGCAAATTAATCCCCACTCACTTTCTGGGGCCAGGGGCTCCAAATCTACCGTTTCCTTTCCAGATGGCCTTTGAGGTAAGGAGTTCAGGACACTATATTAGTGTCCCAGAATGGGGACTCCAGGCCTGGTCTGAGAAGAAAAGAAAAGGAACAAAAGGGCTTCTTAAGCCCAGTCCCCACCCAGACCCGTCATGGAATGGGCAAGAGGCAAGAATTTATGTCCCTGGACCTTGAAATTATTAGTCTAACAGCAGTTGCATTCCAATGACTCTTTCCCAGTAAGTGTCAAGCAAGGCCTGGCTACCTGCCTGCCTTCCTGCCCAGATAACCCCATTGTCTGAAACAATCTTTAGACCTCCAGGACTACAAGGGAGAAAGGAAGCTCCATGGCCTACATGAGAGAGGAAGGTGAAGGTTCTTGCCTTGAGGCTGAAGGGTACCTGACAACTTTCAGCTTAGACCCAGAACCTGAGGAGAGCTCCCCCCTAGGAAGGGGACCGGAGAGAGGAGGGGCTAGGTGACATAATTTCAAGTCAGAAATAAGCCAAGCTAAAGTGTTTGGGGTGGGGGCTTTGGTAATGGAACTAGAAAGTCAGTTCAATCACAGGGTAAGTAATAGAAACCCTGATCAGCAATACTCATGATGTGAGAACTGGGTTGCTCCTGGCCTCCAACCCTGATCAGTCTGAGAGTCTCTGACCATAATATAGTGTTGGATCTTCTGAGCCTTGGAGTTGGGGCTACCAAGCCCATCTGCCTTGAGGAAATGTACAAAAGGATATGTGAGGGGGATTTGGAGGAGACCTTGGTGTGGTTCCTAAAGCAGCTGCTGGGTAGCTTACACTCCCTAGTCTTGGTTCTGTTCCATAGAGTCCTAGCCCTCCCCCCAAAAGGAAAGTCATCCTTCTGGAGTGGCATCTCCATACTTGGCTGTTCCCCGAGTCCACGGAGTCCTAGGAAAAGCACCTGAAAAGCTATGCTGTCATGAGGCCTCTGCCTCTTTTCCAGCCCACCCTCCTAAGTCCACCAGGGCCAGAAGGAGTCAAT